GACACGCTGCTCCACCCCCATCCCACTGGGGGCCCCTGGGGGCCCCTTCTGCTGACAACACTGAAACTCTGCCTGGGGCGAGGGGGGGTCCCCAGGGAAGAGAGGAAACCAGACAAAGAGAGAGAACAACAAACCTAGAATCAGTGACTGTAACTCTGGGAGCAAACATCCTCTAGCCCCTTGGGGGGGAGACTCAGAGGGTTTCTCCTGCCCACCGATCCCTGGTTTCCCCCTTTCCTAACACTTCAATTACAGGGGAAGAGGCACCAGCTCTCAAGTGGAGGGGGAAGCTGTGGTTGTTTATATGTTTCACTTGGCCTCAGGGAGTCTCTGAAAAAGCCTGTACTAAGAAGGCTAAGGTAGTAACTGCCCAGTGTGTTATGCCTCCCTCTTCCCTTCCAGCCCAAGTTGCCTTAAAAAAAAAAAAAAAGCCCAAACCCCACTAATTTAGTACTTGCAACAGGCGCCACTTATCAAGTACCCACTGTTTCAAGAATAATACATGATTTTATTTAATCCTCGACAATCCTGAGTTGGATATTATTGCCATTTTAAGAAGAGGACACAGGGGTTCAGAGAGGTTAAGTAACTTTCCCTAAGTCACACTGCTAATAAAATGATAGAGTTCAAACCTAGGTCAACTTCCTTCTAAAGCGAGAACACTGTTCAGGGCACCATGCTTTTCTGATGTGCCTAGAACAGGACACTGCAGAACACAGAAGCTTCATAAATGCTCATTCTCCAGCTAGAGAATACCAGAGTACTATGGGAATGTGTATGTTTAGGTGTGCAGACATGTGTTGATGTGTCTATCTGTGTGAGTGCTGGCGGAGGTAGAAGACTGGTCTGTAAGGTGGGATGTGTGGGGGGCGTGCCTAGAAGCTTGGATATGTAAACATAAGGTGTGTAGAATCCTGTGGTACCAGGGTTAAAGGGGAGGCTAAAGGTAAGTATAGGTATCTCGGATCTTGGGTCTGTGATGGTTGGGGGCCTCTAAATTAGTGCCCCTCCAAACTCCAGTGTACTCCAGCAATCAAAATAGCCCATTCCTACTTTTTCCCTGTCTCTCTCCCCAACTCCAAGGCTCCACCAGACCAAAATGTAATGGGGAGAAACCCCCGGAGCAAAAGACACCGCACCTCCACTCCCAGTCCTGTCCACACTGAAGAAAGGTGGAACATTCTGGGAGCTTCCACATTAGGGGAACCCCATAGGGTGGATGAAGGTCCAGGTAGATGCTTAGTAACTGAAATTACAGCGTCCATCTGCTGCCTCCCTCTTTACACTTACAACGCACTCCCCTCTTCACACTGCATTGATCTTACCCCTCACCCCCCAGGAAGGCTGGGCACTTCCCAGATCAGATCACTATCCCCTCTATATAGTGGAGGAAGGGGGGGGGCAGGGAGGAGAAACGACTCACATAGGAGGTCACAGGGCAGGTAAAGGGTGGAGCCAGGGCTAGTGGCTCTTCAGGCTCACTTGGTTCCTCCGTGCTCCTAATTGTGGGGGCGGGGTTGCAGGGCTGGACTTCAGCTAGGGCAGCTGCTCAAAGCTTTTGGTGAGAGCAGCTGGGAGGATGGCAGAAACTGAGGCGGGATATTTGGGGGGAGGAGTAGGTGAGGGGGCAGTTCATCCCCTGGTCCAGTGGTATCCTGGGAGTTCGCTACTCCAACACTGAGACTGTAGGTGGCAGTATGTAGAAAGTGGCGGGGATTTTACTTCTAGCTATCTAAAGGTTGTTATGTTACCATTAAAAAGTGTGTGCATGGGGAAGGTGGGGAATCAGAAGGTAAGCGTTTTTTCTTCCAGAGTCTCTTGGGAAGATTTTGTGTAGGGCTTGGGATCCGGAAGGCTCTGTGGTTTGAAGGGAGGAGATGATGATGATGAAGGCCAGCTCTGCTACTATGTAACCTGGGCCTCAGCTTTCCAAACTGTAGCAAAGAGGTATTAATATCTTTGCTCCACCCCTCCAAGCTTCACAAGGATGGACAAAAAAGTATCCACAAGTGAGGATAAAAGTAGCAGGAAAAGGGGCATCTGTGTGACTCAATGGCATCAGCTCAGATCTCGGAGTTTGTGAGTTCGAGCCCCGTGTCGGGCTCTGTGCTGACAGCTCAGAGCCTGGAGCCTGCTTCAGATTCTGTTTCCCTCTCTCTCTGCCCCTCCCCCACTCGTGCTCTGCCTCTTTCTCTCTCTCAAAAATAAATAAACATTAAAAAATTTTTTTAAAAGTAGTGGGGAAAGGATGCATTTATCAAATACTGATTTCACTCTTCTTTTGTGCCAGGCACTGTTCTAAGTGCTTTACACATGTCAGCCCATTTACTAGCCATCACAACCCTGGGAAGACACTGAAGAGCAGAGAGGGCGCATAACGTGCCCGATGTCACACAGCTAGGCTGTCGTAGATCCAGATATGGACCCAGGCAGCCTGGCTTAAGTGTCTGCCCTTGACCATGGCATGCTGCTGCCCTGGCCAATGGAGGAGCGGCTTCCACAGGGGACCTGGGAGTCAGCGGGACTGCCGGCTCCAGCTCTGGAAAAATGCCACATCCTATTTCTACCTGTTTGCTCTCCTTCTTGCTGATGGCTGCCAGACCCTCCACTCAGGCCCTGGGCTTGTGATTGCAGGTTTTGAGAGCTATGCATAGGACAGGCAGAAGAGCCTGGTGGTGAAGGGCTTGCGCTCCATCTGGGGTGAGACAGATCTGGCCACTGACCTGGGCAAATTACTTCACCGCCCTGGGCCTTTCAGTTCCTTCATCAGTAAATGGGAATCATAATTCAATTGTGTGTTTGTTTTGAGAACTAAACAAGATGACTTATGTAAAGCTCTTAATACAGTTCAAGGCACATGATGGATTCTAAAAATATTAGTTACTGTTATTAATAAAGTGTTGGCATAAAAGGGGTTGGTTTGGTAGAAGAAAACTGGTAAAAATCAAAATAAAAGGAAAAAGGCTTTCTTGTGACAGAGACCCTCAGCCAGGATGGGCTTCCCGTTTAGACTAAAGGGTTTATAGGGCCTTCAGGACACTGCCGCTGAGAGGAAGGGAGTGTCCCCAAACTCTTCAAACATACCCAAGCCATCTGTAGCAGGCCAGAAAGGTGGGAGCCCAGGAGGGGGATGCTAGGCTAGGATGGGTCAGAAGTTCAGAGAAGAGAACCCGTTATTGATCAACCACCAGGCAGGGTGCCAGGCTCTTTACCTGTGTGATCCAATTGATCCTCATGATAAATCTTGTGAGGAGGTGGTAGTAAACGCACTTTTCACTTAAAACTAAGGTTCAGACAGGTTAAGCAACTCGTCAAGGTCACACAGCTAAAGAATGGCAGATCTGGAATTTGCACTGAGGGCTCCAAGACTCTGTTATAATTGGAGGGAACTTGTAGGATGTCCAAAAGCCGGGGGGGGGGGGGGAGGTTTGCTACCCTAACTACCTTTAGCTACCCACCACCTGCTTTCTGCCTTGCCAAGTCCCCACCCACTCAACCATAGGCCAAGACCGAGTTGGGTGAGCCAACAGCAGGCCCCAGCATGTGCCACTTGGAGCAAGCCAGGGCCTGGACCCTCTGGTGCCCTGGAGGACAGTCCCGCTGCTAGCACAGCCAAGGCTGGAAGTCTGGTAGACACTCTCACTCCTCTCCTCTCATGGCCTGGGAGGCAAGACTGTGTGGGGGGGTGGGCGGTCTATACTCAAGAGGGGTTGAGCACAGCCTCATTTCCCCTGGGCAGACCCAGGGAAAGGGTAGAGAGTGGTATTGGGTAGAGAAGCCCAGACCCTCTTGCCCGCAGGGAAGTGGAGTGCTGAGCAGCCAGAGCTCCCCCCAGGGGACCCTGGCAGGTGGCAGCACAGAGTCCCAAGGGCAGCTGGCCCCTCTGACCTCTCCTCTCCACTTCCCAAGCGTCCTTCTCTTCTGAGGGACAAGGCGCCAAATCTGTGGGACTGTCCTCCCAAGACGGTCAAGAAAGCCAGGAGGGACAAAGCGCGCCCCCTCCCCCCAACAGGGCCTTTGCCCCACTCCTTGTTCCGCCTCTGAAGCCTGTCCCCACCGCACCCTCCAACGCAGGCCCGGGCGGCTCATGAATGAACTGCACTGTGCGGGGCGCAAGGAGAGGACACGCTCCCGGGGCCAGTCGCCTCCCCAGTCCGAGACCAGTCCCTAGACGGGCCGGGGGCAGCGGCCGGCCTCCAGCCAGCACCCGCGAACCCTGCCCTTGTCCGAGCCCGAACTCTTGCCCCGGCAGGCTTCGGGGGTACTCGGCCCCGGGAAGAGGAGAAAAGATAAAAGAGACCGAGGGCATTGGACTTGGCGACCCTGGAATCCAAAACTCGGGGGCGGGGGCGGCAGGTTCCCCACAGCGGCGGCGAGCTGATGGGGGCGCAGCTGGAACCCTGGAGAGGCATGCGGGGGACGCGCACCTGGACCGGGCAGGTGGGAGAAGAGTGGCGCTTGGGGGCTGGGGGCGGGGGTCCCACCCCTCGGGATCTCCCTAGGGGTGGGGACAGACGGCGGTGCACATCTGGACCCTCGGCAGGGGTCAGAGGACTCGCATTTGGCTCCGGATGGTGGGAGGTTGGGGGCAGCGCGCGGCACCACTGGGTCCCGCGGGCACGAGCACCTTTGGGTCCCAAAGGAGGCTGAAGGGAGGGGACACGTAGCTGAGTCCGGGGTTTTCTTTGGGTGGTAGAAGGATCCTCAAAGAAAAGAGAAAGGGTTGGGGAAGGGTCGCGTACTTACCCCCAGGCGCAGACTCGGCTCCAGCTAGGAGCCCCGGGTTGGGGCGGGGCGGGGCTGGGGGAGGGGGAGGGGGAGTCGCTGGGCGGCTCGAGCTCCGGGCTCCTGCGGCGGCCGCGGCAGTGTCTGGGGGAGGGGGAGAGGGAGGAGGGAGGGGGATGAGGAGGGGGCGGGGCCACGCAGGTACCACCCCCCACGCCAGAACACGCAAGGCGCGCGCGCACCCTCAGATCGGCGCTCGCCTGGCTGGGTCGGGCGCGCAGGCGCAGTGGAGAGGCCGCGTGGGGGAGGAAGGCGGCGCTGGGCCAGGGAGGCCCGCCGCGGGATATTCCGGGGCAGCGAGAGCGGTACGGTCGGGTGGCCGGGTGGCCGGGTGGCCGGGTGGCGGGGGGAATGGGCGTCACGCTCCTCCTTCTCTGCTTCCTTTCTCCCCTGCAGTAGGGGAGGCGCACACCCCGGGGTAGATGGGGAAAAGCCGGCGTAGGTTAGTGGGCCCCCTTGGGGGCAGAGGGGCAGTGGGAGGGGTCAGAGCGGGGAGGGGGGGCCTCTGACCCCGGCCCTCCCGTTCCAGTCCCCGAGGGCGGCGGGGGCTCCCAGGGTCTCTGCGCCCCGCGACCCCCGCCTGCGCTCACCTGCCCTTCCCAGGGGTGTGGGGCTGGCTCGGTGAGGGGCGGGCTGCGGTCCAGCCTTCGCGAGTTGACCTTTGGCCCGATACCCTGACCCGGCTCCTCGAGTTTGTCTACTTCTCTTCGTCTTTCTTTCCCCTTTCCAGCCTAGGTATTGAGATGACTTTGTGACTCGTTTGCCAGGCGCTTCTGTGGTGTGGAGAGTGAGTCCACTGCTTTCACTGTCATGCCGATGAGTGGCTCCCCCTTGCTCCAGGGGGTTCCCTGGTTTCTCATTTCACCAGAGGCTGCATCAGCCGGGGATTAAGACTGGAAAGATGAAGAGAGAGGGGGAGAGAGGGGGGACAGATCGTGTGTAGGCTTTTATAGCACCCACACAAATAGATCACAAAGGCACGCAGAGTACCAACTTTTTTCATTGAATGTTAGGTTCCTGGAAGGCTCTATCTTCCCTTCAGGCTTGAAGAGGGGAAGTTTGGGAACAGAAAGGAAGTTTTGCGTTCCATACTGGGCAGTAAGTGAACTTGGCCATCCTATGGACAGAATTTATAAACAGGGTAACAAAAGGGCATACGATGGAGTCACGTTGGGTTACTTGGGGAAAGCTGGAAGATTGGGAGGTACTTAAACCCGGGCTGCTGGACCGAGGAAGGTCACTGCTTACCTGGTTGTGTCTGGTTCTTATGACCGGTCGTTGTCTCTGCTGGCTTTTTAAAGGGATCGTTAGAAGCTTGTGGAATGCAACCCTAAGGTTTGATATATTGCAGTTCAAACTGAACTCCCATTCACACTGCATCCCATTGGTTAGCTGAAATCCAGTTTAGTGCATCACAGCCATCATTGGGGGAAACAAAAAAGGTAGACGATATCAGAGCGCATTTTACTTAGTAAGACCAAGTATTGTTTCTTGATGCTTGTTTCGGGGATACATACATGCATACCTGTGTGAATGTGTCAAGTGTTAATACCATGTGTTTCTCTGTGTGTCACGGAAAACTTCGAAATGGATTGGTGTCCCTTAACCTCCTGTTTGCTGCCTTTCCTTCCTCAGCCTGAGCATTCAGTCATTTGAAATCGTAGACAAGGACTCAGCCCACTGGGAACGTACAGTAAAGAGTGTGTCTCTCTTGAGGGAGGTACTGCCCAAGAAGAAAGAATTTACTCTTCACTCGTGGAGATACATGCAGCTGAAGAACAAGCATTTTGTTGGAGGAGGAAGTAGGCTTACTTAGGAAGAATAGAAAGGAGAATTAAGCTGTCTTTGGGACACTCGCTGGTGGTGTCTCTAGGTTTGGATTCCGGGAGCTGTGTTGGGTGGGCGCAAGGGGTTTAGATGAAAAGGGATCTGTTCTGGTTTTTGTTTTTGTTCTCTCATGGATGGAATTGCTCATTTAACCCTTGGAGCTTCTTGGGTGTATGTTTCCTATGGAACGTTTTGCATATGATGTTGATTTTATGGTTGTAAAGCTGATGTGATCCACTGCCAGATAGCACTTGTCATGGACGTGGGTCTCTGAGGACCATTACAAGGTGTTTCTTATGTAATACTATTTTTTGTAAAGTTTTTTAATGTTTATTTTTGAGAGAGAGAGAGAGCGTGCACAAGCGGGGGAGGGTCAGAGAGAGAGAGGGAGACACAGAATCCGAAGCAGGCTCCAGGCTCTGAGCTAGCTGTCATCACAGAGCCCAACGTAGGGCTTGAACCCACTGTGTGAGATCATGACCTGAGCCGAAGTAGGATGCTTAACCGACTGAGCCACCCAGGCGCTCCAAGAGGAAACTATTCAAAAAGCCTGCAATGATAATTGAATCCAACATGCTGTGGAATCCATGAAGAAATGGTGGCCAAAACATTTTATTATTGCTCCTGAATATCAGGGATAAAAACCTTGCAGGGAGCCCATTTTCAGGTGGTACTCTGTTGGGTACTAGACATGATTATTTAGATTCTCCTCAACATTTAGAAACTTAGATGATCTAAAAGTCCTTTAAAGCCTATTTTGTCCCAATTCTGTGCTGGAGGACCTACATAAGATGGATTTCCCTTTTGTTTTTCTTACTTGGATGGTTCTTATGGCTGTGTGGTGGCGGGTGGGGTAGGGGGGACTTTGGGCCGCGAAAGGTCTCAAAATCAAGTTACAAGTTAGCCTTCATTTTTAGAGGTTATGAGTTGGCCTTCATTTTATTTTATTTTATTTATTTTATTTTATTTTATTTTATTATTTTATTTTATTTTATTTCTCTTATTTGTTTCTGAGAGAGAGAGAGACAGTGTGAGTAGGGGAGGGTCAGAGAGAGAGAGATACAGAATCCGAAGCAGGCGCCAGGCTCTGAGCTAGCTGTCAGCACAGAGCCTGACGCAGGGCTCAAACTCACAAATCGTAAGATCATGACCTGAGCTGAAGTTGGACGCTTAACTGAGTGCGCCCCGAGTTGGCCTTCATTTTAGAGGCTGATAGTTTTCTTTGGGTTGTACCTCACCCTGTGTGATTTTACATGTGTATTAGCAATGACAACCGGGTTGGAAGAGAGGACTGATTCAGATTCCAGAAATGCTGCTCTCGGTCAGGTAAGATGCCTTCTTATTGAGGCATCAGGTAGCTTATTATTTATAAGTGAAACACAACTCCGAGTTGGAAAGTCCCCCATCAGAAACTTTCTAAAAATCATTTATGTCTTTAGAAAAGGGAAGGAGCACTTTTCCATATTTACTTTAAGCTGAAAAACACTTTTAGGAGTGAGTGACCTTTAAAGACACACCCATAGAGGGGGGTGCCTGGGTGGCTCAGTTGGTTAAGGGTCTGACTTTTTTTTTTTTATGTTTTTCTTTCTTTCTTTCTTTTTTTTTTTTAAATGTTTTATTTATTTCTAGCAGAGAGAGAGAGCGAGCGAGCGAGCAGGGGAGGGTCAGAGAGAGAGGGAGTCACAGACTGAAGCAGGCTCCAGGCTCTGATCTGGCAGTCAGCACAGAGCCCGACGCGGGGCTCAAACCACAAACCGCGAGATCATGACCTAAGCGAAAGTCGGACGCTTAACCGACTGAGCCACCCAGGCGCCCCTGTTTTTATTTATTTCTGAGAGAGAGAGGGAAGGGCAGTGTGAGCAGGGGAGGGTCAGAGAGAGGGAGAAAGTATCCAAAGCAGGCCCCAGGCTCTGAGCTGTCAGCACAGAGCCCAACGCAGGGCTTGAACCCACAAACCGTGAAATCATGACTTGAGCTGAAGTCAGATGCTTAACACTGAGCCACCCAGGCACCCCAAGGGTCTGACTCTTGATTTTTGGGTCAGGTTATGATCTCTCTGTTTGTGAGATCAAGCCTCATGTCTGGCTCTGTGCTGACAGCGAGAAGCCTGCTTGGTATTCTCTCTCTCACTCCCTTTCTGCTCCCCCCCACCCCAATAGCGTTGTCTCTCTCTCTCTCTCAAAATAAATAACATTAAAAACTTAGGGGCACCTGGGTGGCTTAGTCGGTTGAGTGTCCAGATCTTGGTTTCAGCTCAGTTCATGATCTTGCGGTTCATGGGTTCTTGCCCCGTATCTGGCTCTGCACTGGCAGTGTGGAACCTGCTTGGGATTCTTTCTCTCCTTCTCTCTGCCCTTCCCCTGCTCGTGCCCTTTCTCTCTCTCTAAATGAATGAATGAATGAATGAATGAAGTAAAGACACACCCATAGAACTGCCTTGAGCATCAGGGAGCGAGGCTCTTCTCCCTGGTCAGCATCTGGGAAATAAACTGCTTGCGATGCAGACCTGGTCCTTACTGGTTAATTCCGAGAGGGCTTCCCCACTTGAAGATGACCCTTTTCATGAGGGAAGCTAATGCGTTTTCATTTCCATGCCTCTTCGCTTTTCCCTATGACCCCTGCTTGGCAGAGAGTTGCTGAGGCCTGGAGAGGTTGATTCAGGGGAGGATGAGGGTGGAAGAGTTATGCTTTCCATCAGCAGTGGCCTCTCTTTGAGTCCAGGGACTCTCCTAGGCTCTTCTTTTTCTCTACTGCCTGCCTGCCTGCCTGCCCAACTGACCGCTGGGTAAACCTGGCCCCTCGATACTGGCCCACTAAAGGTACTAATAGGAAGGAAATGTGTAACTGATTAAGTAGGACTTGACTTTGCCTTATACGGTTTTTCTGAGTTTTGACCATACCAAGATTGTTTCAGACTTAGTTCTGAAACTATAGGTGTTTGCACACCTGTGAGGCAGGGATGGAAGGGGAGCAAATCTAGAATAAATAAAATCCACATATTGAATAATTGAGAATTGTCATACATATTAAAGAACCACTATTTTATCTTTTTTAGTGTTTATTTTGAGAGAGAGAGAGCACTCACCTGCATACCCAAGGGGGAGGGGTAGAGAGAGCCTGTGCTGTCAGCACAGAGCCAGATGCAGGACAAGGGGCTCAATCCCTTGGATTGACCTGAACCGAAATCAAGAGTCAGAAGCTGAATGGATTGAGCCACCACCAAGCCACCCAGGCGCCCCAAGAGCCACTGTAGAAATGCTTCTGTAACTGGGTGGAGCATAGGATAAATAAATAAACAAGCATAGGACAAGAACCCTGGAAACATTTTATCTTTGTGAATCAAATTGGGAAATGGAGTCCTCACTGGTAGCCTTGGTAGCCACAGCGCACTGTGTCCTGGAGAGATGCTTTGTTTATGGATAGTGGTGCTGTGAAAACTGACACCTTGGCCAGTGAATCAGATGTGAATCAGATCGGCCTGAGCTTCGGTTCTAATCTGGTCTGGGTGTAGTGTAGATATTTATTGAAAAGACAGCTTTATTTTATTTTATTTATTTTTTTAGAGAGAGCATGAGTGGGAAGGGGCAGAGGAAGAGAGAGGGAATCTTAAGCAGGCACCTTGCTCAGTGTGGAGCCCGACATGGGGCTCGATCTCACAACTGTGAGATCATGACCCGAGCCGAAACCAAGAGTCAGACTGTTAACCTACAGAGCCACCCAGGTGCCCATGGAAAGATAGCTTTTTAATTTCTGAGTTTTAAAAGATTGGACAGAGGAAGAAGAGCACTTGCCCTCTGTGTGGCATGTTTGTTTCTGTGAAGTTTAGTAATGATCAAAGCAGCATCTTAGCCATATAGGGTGCAGTAGAAACAGCTTACTGACCTTGGACAGTCTACAAGTTAGCATTTTGGACTTCCTTTCTTCATCTGCAAAATGGTACTTTATGGAGCCCCCACAACTATTCAAAACCCTTAGCAGAGTCAACCCTTTACAGACTGTGGCTCTTTATTATTTGTCTATATGTTTCTATTCGGTGCTCAAGAAGGGATTCATCCAGGGGCGCCTGGTTGGCTCAGTCGGTAGAGCATGCAGCTCTTGATCTTGGGGTTATAAGTTTGAGCCTCCCATGTTGGGTGTAGAGATGACTTAAAAAAAAATCTCAAAAGAAAAAAACGTAACCATCCAACAAAATGATCTATGAAAACATTTGGAGAATTTATTTGGAGAGTTATAACCTGTTATAGTTGTGTGAGGTTTAAAAAAAAACCCACAAAATTTCCTAGAAGAGAATAATTGGACAGCAAAACAGTAACAAGTTCTTAAGCAACAAGTAGGAGTACTTCTTGGTACAGAAAGATTGGGGTGAGACCTGCCGGAGGTGGGAGGGGCTCTGTCTGCATGACAGAAGGGAGTGCCTTTTTTTGATTCCTGGAAGCTGCTAAGCTTCTGCTTTCCCATGCTTTAATTAAGAAGGGCATTTCTATCCTTACGGTCAGTGTATTTCCTTTTTGTGGCTGGGCCTTGCATTTGTATAGTGTTTCTTTTCACTTATTGACATGTTATTTGAACAAGTCTATGTGATTGTGCTGAACTTTTTATTTTTATTTATTTAAAAACATTTAAATGTTTATTTTTGAGAGAGAGAGAGAATGGGGGAGGGGAAGAGAGAGAGAGAGACAATTTGAAGCATGCTCTAGGCTCTGAGCTGTCTGCACAGGGCCCCCACATGGGGCTTGAACTCACAAACTGTGAGATCATGACCTGAGCCAAAGTCTTTTTGTCTTTTAAGAGTCCATTCTTGGGGTGCCTGAGTGGCTCAGTTGGTAAAATGTCCGACTTCAGCTCAGGTCATGATCTCACAGATCGTGAGATCAAGCCCTGTGTCGGGCTTTGTGCTGACGGCTCAGAGCCTGGAGCCTGCTTCAGATTCTGTGTCTCCTTCTCCCTCTGCCCATTCCCTGCTCATATTCTGTCTCTCTCTGTCTCTCAAAAAAAAAAAAAAAGTCCATTCCTCTTGAGAGGGTTTTACATTGTACCTTATGTGTCAGGCACTTAAAGATGGAAATTGTTCAGGTAGAAACAATAAATAAATATATATGTCTACATAATACATATCCGTGATACTAAGTACACCATTTTGCTGATCCTTACTCAAATAGTGGTACATTCCTGCTTTTCACAAAGCACCAGAGGTATAGGCTCTTTCTGTCTGCTTTTCCAACTCAGTCTCCGTGTGTTAAAATTAGCTAAACACGTTGGTTGTTCCTTGGAGGCTTCCCTGAGTCACTAGGAGCCAGAGTGAAGGGCACAAGAAAGACCCCGCCCCCCTCCCAGCATGGAGCCTCTCTCTGGGACTGGAGCGCCAATTGAGTTGTAGATTAATTGTATTCATTTAACAGATACTTAGTGAACTCCATCTGGTACATTGTGCCGAGGCCTCTGAGTGTGCAGTGCTGGGCAATACAGGTGTGGTCCCTGCCCTCACTAGGTGTCTTTCCCATGGAACCCTATGAAGGCGGTGCTAAGTAAAATCCCTGTGTGGCCCTCCCCTGCCTCCAAAACTGAAGGGAGACCTTAAAGCTCAACCAGGATGGAAAATGAGCACAGTTCTTGGATTGTATCCAGTAATCTCTCTCTCTCATTCCCTCCCTCCTTCTCTTGCTCCCTCATCCCCCTCTCCCTGGACAGGTTGTGATTCATCCTCTAAACCTGGAGGGCAATACTTGGTGCTGACCGGGAAGTGGCACGGAAAGCCATCTCTGGCACCAGAGTCTTCTGAATAGCTGGCTTCTGAGTGAGTGTTGTAGAGGAGGAAATATCATTGGGGTTGGTTTCCTGTGCTCACAAGATTCAGAGTGACGTTGCTTGTGAAACAAAGCATTATATATATAGACTGCTCCAAAGTGAATCAGGCTGTGTCTGCAGGATGGATTTATGCTAGGAAGTAACATCAGGCTCAGTTGGAATTACTTGGAAGTAAATTGCTGTCTCCATTACTCTTGCCTGATCTGAACCAGTTGTTTAGTGGTGGGATGAGGTGCCCTTCCACAGTGGGCACTGTAGGCACCAGGCCCAGGAGATGATTCCAGGGGCTGGTAAACATGGCAGGGGCTGATCCTGCCGTGACCAGCAGGATGGTTCTCCAAAGTGGGTCTGCATGTGATGTCCTGGTGCCTGAACACAGACAACGGCTCTATAGGGGCTGGATTTCCTTCTGGGTGGAGCTGAGGGTGAGGGTGTTGGCTACCTCTTTTTTTTTTTTTTTAAATGTTTTATTTATTTCTAGGAGAGAGAGAGAGAGCGTGAACAGGGGAGGGTCAGAGAGAGAGGGAGTCACAGACCGAAACAGGCTCCAGGCTCCGAGCTGGCAGTTAGCACAGAGCCTGACGCGGGGCTCAAACCCACGAACCGCGAGATCATGACCTAAGCGAAAGTTGGACGCTTAACCGACTAAGCCACCCAGGCGCACCTTGCTACCTCATTTTTAAATTTTTAAAAAACTTGCCCTTGGGGGAAGGGCAGAGAGAGAGAGGGAGACACAGAATCGGAAGCAGGCTCCAGGCTCTGAGCTGTCAGCACAGAGCCACGTGTTGGGCTCGAACTCAGGGACCGTGAGATCATGACCTGAGCCAAAGTCAGACGCTTAACTGACTGAGCCACCCAGGCGCCCTGGCTACCTCATTTATTTTATTCAACAGATATTTATTGCTCTCCTATCAAGACCTGCTGGGTTAGGAGTAGAGGGGACCACAGATTTTTTTTTTTTTTTTTGAGAAATAAGGGACACATATACAATAAATGAATGTATTTAGTTCTTGTGTGCTTTCAAGTTCATGGGAATACTTACTGCTGTCCATTTGATGTCTTAAGTCCTCTGGGTGTGGAGGTCACTATCAGATCCTGAAGAGCTAGTGAAAAGTCTTTGAATAGGACCTTTTCTTACGAAAATGGAAGTACCTGCTGGAGATTGTCAGTGTATCACTCCTGTGTCTGAGGTCAGTGCATATAATCCTCGAGAGCTGAGTCTATATGACCCCTGAATTCCTGTCGTGAGGTCATATGCCACGTTATCAAGATCCCTGCAGAGTCTCTGAGTTTTGGAGAGTAGCAGGGATTGGAACTTTAAGGGTTATCAGCCTTATCTCAAAAAAGTATCCAAATTTATGCAGTGACTGAGTTTGGATAGTGAATGTTGGTGCTGTGAGAGTTCCTCTGGCACAGGGTCCCCAGATGTCCTCGGTGTGCAAGATGGGTAGCAGGTGATGCTCTGCTTGTACACAAGGCTGCCCCAGGGAGCGGCGATTGTCACCAGGGCAGACTGAGCTGGGCAGAGCTGGGCATTGGTTGTGGGGGCGGCTTGTGAGCGAGGCACGGAGCGGAGGCCTGGCTTTGGGTTTGTGCCCAGGCTGCCCTGCGGATTTGAGAGAAGTGCCTGGAATCGTGGGTTTGTCGTAGCCGAGTCGGGAAAGTTCTGGGAAGCCCCCAGCACTTCAGCAGCCCTCGGACTAACGTAAGTGTTACTGAGGAAGAGGTGCGGTGTGAAGAGGCAGGGTGTTGCTGTTCTCAGGAGAGGGAATGTGGGTGGGTGGTGCTGGGCTAATCTTGAGGGTTCTGTGGAGGAGCCGAGGAGCCTCTTTCCTCCCTGGGAGTGAGAACGAGGGCCCGCCAGCATCAGATGGGAGAGCTTGGCTGAGATCGGAGGTAACCACCGCCTGGACCAGACAGACTGCTTTTCAGAGCCTTTTTTTTTTTTTTTTAAGGCCAATTTTTAGTTATTGCTCAGTGTGGAACTCTTCTTGCCACCTACACTACCAATTGCCCTCAAAACTTAAATTGGATTAAAGTGAATAATTTACACCTGGTGCTTATACAGTTCGGTTGATTCAGCAGGCATTGGGTCGGGTATGAATAAAATGTGTGTGCGATACCAGGGATGAAATGGGGATGATTTAACAGTTGGAAAAAATACTAATATTTAAATTAAAGTTAAGCTGTGTTAACTGTTGAATAAGAGCATGGGTTCAGATTTCAGTTTTGTCACTCCTGGCCCTGTGACCTTGGGCAAATTATCTAACCTTGCAGGGCCTCGTTCCTTCATGTGTAAAATGAGGCTGACACTAATGCCTATTTCATAGTTTTTGTGAGGCTTAAATATGAAGATAACATAAAGCACTTAGTCTAGTGCCTGATGCTTTGTAACTATTAGGCAAATTTTCCTAAAGAAACAAAACAGAGAAAGACCAGATGACCCTGAAAACTGCTTCTCACTCTGAGCTCCCTTTCAAGAAAAGAGCTTTGCATGGCTGGGTGAAGCTATCCAGTGTGTGGGAAGGACCCTTGGGCTGAGCCGGGCCTGGTCTGGGTCTGGGTCTGCCCGTGGCCAGCTGTAGGGTATCCTGCGAGTCACTGCATCTCTCTGTATCTTGATTTCCTAATCAGTGAGATGAGATGTGCTTGGATGGGCAATGATGGTGACTTTGGAGGCAGCCAGTACATACTGAGTGCCAGGCAGTGCGCTCTGTCCTTTGTTTTTGTTTTTTTAAATCTTTTTTTAAATGTTTATTTTTGAGAGAGTACAGGTGGGGTAGGGGAAGACAGAGTGGGAGATAGAGAATCCCAAGCAGGCTTCGTGTCGTCAGTACAAAGTCTGATGCGCAGCTTAAACCCGCTAACCGTGAGGTCATGACCTGAGCCGAAATCTAGAATCGGGACGCCTAACCGACTGAGCCTCCGAGGCTCAGTCCTTTGCATGGTGTATCCCATGACCAGCTGTGTGTAGGTGTCCAGATGGGGAAACTGAAGCTCATAGTTCCTTGTCCAGGGTCACGTAGCTATAAAGGTAAAGCTGGCCTCTTCTGATTTCTTTAATTTGGCGTGTCAGATGTTAATTGTTCTAGAAGTTAGCTGCCTTTCTTTGCATTTAATTTTCTGATCGTGACTACATTTTGACCACTGCTTCCTGGGTTGGTCTTACGGAAAACACTGGAGAATAAGCTTGTAATCTGAGGCTAAGTTGTAGTTAATAAACATTTCTGGAGTGTCCAGATATTTCTGTGGAAGTAAATAGTGGCTCCCCTCCCACCCTTGTTAAATAAAGTCTTATCTGAGGTGCTTTGAACTTCCAGGAGGGAAGGCGGTGTGTAAATACTACAGTGGTAGAGGCCTTTCTCAGTAGAGGTTTCGATGAGGCCCTCTGTAGCCAAACATTTGGGTAGAAGAACAGGCATGTTTTGCAGCTAGATTTGGTGGCTGGCTGTAGGATTTTCTTAAACGTACCCCTAACTGATGCCCAGGTCTTGCAGGCAACTAGGGCTGCCATATTTGTTGGTGCCAGGGAGCTGCGGGGTTGGGGTTCTGCAAGATGGAGGAGTTGGTTAGGGGTTGGTGTTTGTTCTGTCTCCACCTGGTTGCCCCAAGCCCGACTTTCAGCTGCAGAGCGGGGCAGGGAATTTTTCTGTGTTATGTTGTTGTTTGGGAGGCTGACCCAAATAGAGGCTTGGTCAGTGATGTGACAAGGGTGACGAGGGCATCTTTTGCCTCTGCTTGGCTAGCCTTGAGCTGTCCAGATGTTCTGGCTTTTATGTTTGGGGAAAAGTGACATGGTGACAAGACACGCTGCCAGGTGTCAGGTAGTCTGCTTTCAGGGAGTAAGAGTTCTGGTTTTGGGAGGCATGGGAGTGTCAGCAGGGGTACTGGTGTGTCGGCTTTCCTCCGTGGAGGACTCGGGAAGGGGCCACTGGCTGGGTGTGTGCCAGAGGATTCCTGCTTTCCCCTGCCTGTGGAAGCCTTGTAACCAGGAAGGCATCCCCTGTGCTGTTGTATTTGAGCAAGAACTGCTGTGGGCCGGTCCAGCTCTCTGACCCCAGTGAGATTATGAATCAGCAAAGCCAGAGCTGGAGTTCCACCTAATCATCTGTGTATCTTTTAACCACTGAGATTTCTATTTAGTGACTAATGATCTTCTGCTAGAAGTACCATCTCCCACACAAGGCCCCAGCAGGCTGGCTCTGAGCAAGGACACTGACTTAGGAATAAACCCTTTCCCCCTCTTTTCCTGCAGGATTTGCCATGGCTTTCTTTGCTGGGCTCCGGGGCCCCTTCACCCATGCAGGCAGAGCCCTCAGCCAACGCAGTTTCAGGTAACTTCCCCATTCAGTTCTCAAAGCTGCGGCTTTGAGTAAACCCCCCCATCGGGACTGGGCATCGTGCCTAGAAAGGGAGTGGGAACTCAGAGAGGCTGGCTTGGTGGCTGGGAAAGGTGAAGGGGCTGGAGCAGCTGGGATTTGTCAGGCCCAGTGAGCGGATTGGTAAGGAGGTGACTTTGCTGTTGGAGGAGGGGTAGGGAATGGCCGGCCTATGGTAGATGAAACTTCCATCCACGCCGGATTCTTGCAGTGACTCTGACATCTCTCGACCCGGTCATTCCCCCAGCACTTGAAAGCCTTTTCTTTTAAAAATGGAATCCCTTTTTAAAAATGTTTCATGCTTACTACCAAAACTCAGGCACGGTGGAAGCATGACAGCCTCCCCTCCTTCTAGATGCCAAGCCAGGACACAGAGCACGGGGTGTGTTCCTATTGGCAAATGTGCCTTCTGGCCCCTTTCGTGCACTCACTCCCTGGAGTCTACTGAGCACTGCGCCTAGGGCTGGTCATAGATGAATAAGAATTGCTTCCTGTCCTGAAAGAGTCTTCACAGTTGGCCATAGGAGCAAACTTGGAAACAAATAACTCTGAGGAAATGTGACCAGTATAATAATAGAGGTTTGTACGGTGCTCTGGATGGCTTGAGACAGGAGCTGCTAATGGGGCAGGAGGGGGAAGAGGGAGCAGAAGCCTTCCCGCAACAGAAGAGGGAACAGGCCCGGCCAGGCCTCCAGGGAGGGCTGAGAGGCACGGTGGGCCTGGAGGGCGCAGGCCACTCTGGCAAGTGGGAGGAGGTTGTGGACCTCAGCAGGTAAGTGGGGGCCAGGTTGGACCACCGTATAGTTCTAAGTGGTGGGGGTAGGGGGTGGCCTCAGTCTTACGCTCTAATGAGAGCCCTTGGTCTGCAGTGGGAGGCTCCCAGAACCATTTGGGACACTAACGTAACAGTCATGGTGGGAGAGAGGAAGCTGCGGAGCGGAGAGGGTTGGTGGGGTTGGAGGGAAGGGAGGGAGTAGCTTTGCAGGTCGCGGCAATAGGACTTGGCAGCCAGGGTGTTGATGGAGTGAGAGGTTTATGGCTTGGGGGCTGGGGAAGCCATTTTCTAGAAAGAAAACGTAGCGGCGGCCGGAGGTTTGCAAGGGGAGACGATGAGGTCAGTGCAGGACGTGACGAGTCTGCAGTACCAGTAGGACGTGTTGTGGGGAGCTCGGAGTGTAGACGCAGGGCCCGGATATAAGCAAGAAGTGGGGCCCGAGGTGAAATGTACTAGTTGGAAGCAAAGGGAATAGATGAGATTGCCTGGAGCAGGCATATGGAATTCGAGGGGAGAGTCCAGGGTTACCCCGGAGAATGCCGGCACTTCAGGAAAATAGACTGCTTAATCATAGTTTATCTGCCTTTTAAACAGGTACTGTTTTAAAAAAAAATCATTCTAGTGGGGAAAATGCACTGAACAAAAGATTGTTACCTTGACTTATTTCTCGTTTCTCCTATATTATGTCAGGGGCCTCCCTTAGCAAACCTACTCACTCACACTGTCTGGTTCCCAGCACCACATGGATGGGAAATTTGGGAATCGGTGTATTCTGGGGGAGCAGGTTTTGCAGGCTAGGCAGTGGGTGAGGCCTAGCCGGTAAAATAATCCCTTCATCCTCAGAGTTCTTTTGGACACTGACGGCTGTCAGTTAGGTTGCCATGAAGTTCCTTGTAACAGAGAATCAGGTTCTCCATAAAACCCCTCCAAGTTGCGATGTTGACCTGGCAGCAGAAGCTTTTGACTCTGAGGAAACTGTCTTGGGCACAGAGAAGTCTCCACAGGCACCCGGCTCCCTGTCAGCGCCCTGGGCGTTGTTGCCAACGTTTGATCTCTCCTAGGCCCTGCCCTCTGAGGCCTCTGCACCCTGACCAGAAAGATTACAGACTCCAGACATGTTTTCTCTTTCCGCAGCACCACCGGGAGCCTTGATGCCATTCAGAAGATGACACGCGTGCGCGTGGTGGACAACAGTGCCCTGGGGAACACCCCATACCATCGCCCGCCTCGTTGCATCCACGTCTATAACAAGAATGGGGTGGGCAAGGTGGGTGACCAGATACTGCTGGCCATCAAGGGGCAGAAGAAAAAGGCACTCATTGTGGGGCATCGCATGCCTGGTCCCCGGATGAGCCCCAGGTTTGACTCTAACAATGTGGTCCTAATTGAGGACAATGGGAACCCTGTGGGGACCCGAATTAAGACACCCATCCCCACCAGCCTACGCCAGAGGGAAGGTGAATTTTCCAAAGTGCTGGCCATTGCTCAGAACTTTGTGTGAGCCGTGGCCAGGCCACTGGCTGCTGTGGGACTCATGGGAGGGAACTCGGGGCCCCATGCTAAGGAACAGTGTCCTGTGAAAAAATAAACTTTTTCATGTATGTTCCTTCCTGGGCTTTCTGGGATGTGGTCCTGAGGTAAATGGCACCAAAGCAGTTAAAAGGTGGCCAGCCCTTGTCTGGCCACGCAGATGGTGGTCTTTGCATGAAAGAGCCTATGAGCTCATCCAGGATTATCAAGCTCCGGAGAAGGGGTGCAAACCACATGCCAATTCATAAGTGTACAGTTGGGCTCTGTCACTTTCTAACTGGGCAAGATTTTTTTTTTTTTTTTTTTTTGCCATTCAGATTTTTTGTGCATCAGAGGGCTTGTGATATTAAATGGTTATGAAGTTTACAGGGTTAGCATGAATAAGAGCAGAGGGACTTGTTGAGTAGAACATTGCCTTCAAGTTTCCATAGAACCCAGACGGTAATCCTCTCTCTACTGTGGAGTATCCTCTGCCAGGGACCAAAACCACTCCTCTGTGTTCAGTAGTAGAAAGCTCCTGCCCTTGACTGCTGGGGAAATGGGCTAGCCCTGATACTTTGCAGATGGCCTAACCTTGGGCCTATGTAGGTGGGTCCCATTTATTTGTTGACCTTCTTGGGGAGACTTGGGGGCTCCCTTAGTTTCTTTAATGAAATCTCATCAACTCGTTTATAAATTCATTCATTTGTTCATTCAAGATAACCCGAGCACTCATTCTTTGTATATTCCAGTGGCCTCTGAGAGGCTGAGTAGCATGATTAAGAACACAGGCTTCACGGTGCCTGGGTGGCTCAGCCTGTTAAATGTCTGACTCTTGATTTCGGCTTAGGTCATGATCTCATGGTCTGTGAGATTGAGACCCGTGTTGGGCTCTGTGCTGAGTGTGCAGAGCCTGCTTGGGATTCTCTCTCTCCCTCTCTCTGCCCCTCCCCCTCCTTGTGTGCGCATGCACGCGTGCTCGCTCTCTCTCCAAATAAATAAAAAATTTAAAATATAAATAAAACAAAGAACACAGGCTATGTAGCCAGATCACCTGGGTTTGAATCATCTCTCCACCATTTACCACTTTGTGACTTTGGGAAAGTTGTTTAACTTCTCTGTTCCTCAGTTTCTTCACCTATAAAATGGGGATATAGCAATGGCACCTACTTGGTAGGAGTGATGTGAGAATTCAGTGAGGTAGTACCTCTGAGTACCCTGCAATAATGAGCATTCAGTAGGTATTTGCCATTTTTTGTTGTCATTTCTATGCATCTGCCCGCACCGAGGAACAGTGGTGAGTGCTACTAGGTATGGTCCTTGCTGTCATGGGGCTTATGTGTCCCTGGAGAGAATCAACATAGACCAGAACTCCTCAAATGCAAATCCTTGGGGGCAAAAGTGCCTGTGATAGAGGGGTTAGACTTTTTCTGAGGGACTGGAGGCAGCATCCCCAAGAAAGGTCGCATCATTTGCTTTCTGAGGAATGAACAGAAGTGATAGAAGTCAGAATAGTGGTGGGGGTGGGGAGGAGTATGGACAGGAAAGGGGAAGAGGGAAACTTACCTAGGCAGAAATTATGGGAGTGTATAGATCTGTAAATATTGAGCTGTACATATTATGTGCTTTAGTATACCTTAGCAAAAATAAATGAGTAGGCAATAGTTAGGTGAGAGAGGAGGGGAAAATGTTCCAGGCAGGGGGAAGAACACGTGCAAAAATCCTGTGGCAAGAGTCAATGGTATAAGGACCAGGGACTTGAAAAAGCTAGTGTGGCCGGAGCAGGAAGAGTGGGAGGGAGTGTGATGTTGGCTGAGGGTAGGAGAAGAGCAGGGCCAGGATGTGCCGGGCCTCATAGGCCCCAGGCAGCTTTCCTTGTCTTGAGGGTGCTGGGGTACTGTGTAGGGTAGGGGTGGTAGGAGAGGAGATCTGCTTAGAGTTACTCTGTGGACAGGGGCCGAGGGAAGCCAAAATGGGTGGCATGGGCTTTGCAGCTGGCCCTGTGAAGATGATGATGCGTTGCATGAAGAGGGTAGCAAAGGAGGGAAGGAGAAGCTTTGAGGAAGTGCAGTTGACTAGGCTTGGGGGTGCGTTAAGATGGTGGGGATGGCCAAGAATGGGTCATGGGTTTCTGGCTTCCATGCTTGGATAGTTGGTCCTACCAAGCATTGAGGGGGCAGTACCCTAGGAGAGGTCTGTGCAGGGGGAGGGAGCAACTGGGGCATCTGGATGGGGATGCCTTTGAGACATCCAAGAGCTCTCAGGTAGTTGGATATAAATGATCTCTTAAGTTGGGATGGCCCCTAGTATCTGTTTTGTAAGTATTTATGTGTATGTCTATTCTTGGATTCCTCACGGTCCTTAGGTTTGGCAGGCATTGGTCCATGGTTTGAATGAGGACACTGCGTTTCAGAGGTAACTTGATTTCACAGGGTCTTAAAACTCATAGGTAGCAAAGCTGGTCTGGAAGTCAGATTCTGGGCCTTCCAACTGAGGAGTCTTCCCATAGCATTATGGGATCTTAATTTTGTGGTTGATGAGTCCTCCCCACCTTGAATTGATTCGTTAGCTGTGATCCTAGAGGATAATTTGTGTTTCCTGAAGTCGGTGGGTACGCCTTGGAGCCTGTTGCCTGCTATGACTTGACTGTGAGGAGGTGAGGGCTCGTAGTCTTCCGTCTTCCTGGTTGACGCATGTACTGCTCCCCTGGGCTCCTCCGACAAAGCTTGATTCAGGGGAGCCCTGGGTCCTTGAGGAGCTAACGTCCCTTTCCATCTGGCCCTCCGGAAGGGCTGATTGAGTCTGTGGCTGGCATGCTATGCTGCAGTGGCTGACCGTGGCCAAGGAGGAGGGATCACACCCAGCCTGGGACATGCTTTGTCAGTGGTGAGCGTCTCCAACTGCAGCAGCTGGTACTCAGCACGCTCTTCATTTCTCTGCTTTTTGGGCTGCTGCTTCCCGAAGGCTTTGGGGCAAGAGACCCCTGTCCTGAGGTGAAGGAAAAGCAGGACTGTTACTCTCAGCCGGGTACCACCTGCTCAGGGGCTGGGCCTTTGCTCTTTCCGGAGCTGCCCTCCCTCTTCGCAGGTCACTTGCTTTCTGGGCTCACGCTCACTCCTTCCTGTGCCCTTAGTCAGCAGACAGCGTTTGGTGTGGATCCTTTGACGGGTTTGCAGGGTCCCGCCGCTCTGCCGCATTCCCTCTGCCGCTGGGGCTTACCCAAGTCATTCAGATGACCGTCCTCGTTGTCCCTTCCTCTGGTCTTCACTCCTCCCCAAAGTGTTCTGTGCTGACCGCTGGAAGGCTGTGGTTTCCACAAAGCCGAGTGGCCGGAGCCTGCCCTCCTGCCTGTGACGCAGGCCTTCCCAACGCACAGCCCAGAATAGCCTCAGCTTTGCTGCTTTTCCAGCTGCCCTATCACTTTGCAAACTGGGATCTAATTTGCTGTCCACCCTCCCCACCCCAGTCTCTCAGCCAGTACCACTTTCTTTGCTCATGAAATATTTATAATCACAGATTATGTTTCCCTATGAGTATAAGCTTGCTTTTGTTTTTTTCCCTTCCATACCCTGAAGAAGCTGCCCCTGACAGGTCAGAGAGCCTCCGCCTCATAGACTTCGTCGCTCTGCCTCCTGCAGTGTCTGGCTTGATGACACTGTTGTTTTACTCCCTCTGCTGCAGCGTTTAACTCTCTGCTACAGCGCGGCCAAAGAAATGTGGTGGAAGGGGCTGTAGGGAGGTGGTCGCGATTGGGAGACCTGGGCCCCTGTTGGGCCGGTGCCACTACCTGGTCGTGTGACTTTGGGCAAGCTGCAGCCTCGGGGGAGTTGCACGGGGGCTGTGTGCTCGGGGGACCGGCCGGTGGGGGCCCTCTGGAGTAGTCCAAACATGCTTCTGGCCGCGGCCCTTGCCCCTGCCACTTTGAAGGGTATGTCTGTGGCTGCAGGTGGGGACCTGGCCAAAGGATGTGCAGAGATCATCCTGTCGCCACCAATACTCCTGGCAAACAGAGGCCAGGTGCTTCTGCTCTTCCTGTTTCCTGGGCAGTCCCCTCCTGAGACTTAATGCCCTGTCTTGCTTTAGTGAGGCAGGGAGAGAGAGAGAGAGAGAGAGAGAGAGAGAGACACGCCTTCTCTGGAGCCCACAGGCGCTGGCCTCACCTGGGCGCAGCCTCCTTAGATTTCCTGCTCCTTCCCCTCATTGCCTTTCTTGGCCTCTTCTCATGTTCTCTCTGGTTCTTTCTCAGCTGCCGAGAATTCCTGTTTTTGATGAAAATTGCATGATACTGGAATCAAATGATTAACTGAAATTCAAATCTGTCCTGGCAGCTGCATTTCTTTCCTTCCTCTGATTTTGTAATTCAATCTTTAACAAAAAGTTTCGGGATCTTTTTTATTCTTTCCCACCTGGAGGATGGATAGATATCACAGTTCAGTTCCCCTTGACATTTTGGACATTTGCCGAATTGTTTTCCCAATGTTAGTCATTTTCCAAATTGTTTGGACTTCCCAAGTTCACAGTGGTCATGAGTTTGCCTCTCAGTTTTCAGCATCAAACTAATGTGTTTATGAGGTTTTTTTGGTCTTTATGGTATTTTAAAGCCAGTGGGTTCCAGCCAGATTCAGGAACAGTGAGGCCTGTTGTCATTTGCTGATATTATGACAGACTATCTCAAAGACATACCACAGTTTTTTTTGTTTTTTTGTTTTCTTTTAAATGGAAGTGAACTTACACATTCTGGGAATTTCACAAGAGTGCTTGAATAATCGGGGTACCCTTGCCTATTATGAAACCTTCCTTTGAAATTGCTTTTAGGCCAGATGTTTACCTGCCAAATAGAGGTAACTCTTGGTCAATCGGGACTGATGATCCAATGTGGGATCAGAGCCGTCCTCCCAGGTCCCCGCTCCCTGCTCTGGGAGGCAGGCAGGAGGGCGCAAGGAGAGAGAAAGAGGCCTCTCCCACACGCTGGCTTTTCCAGGCATGCTGCTCCTGGCCTGCGCAGGATGTCATGGGCTGGGAGTGGGCTGTGCCACCCATGCCCACAGGCTCACCCAGTGCCCTTCCTGGCTGGCGCACAGGGCCAGGGGGTGGGGCCTT